AAATGCAATTGGTACAATCACAGAATATTTAATAAACGATGTCTACAAGACAACATCATCCCTAAATCTCTTGTTATAAAACCTCCAGAACGATCCTGGAGATCTATCCAGACTTCTCAACACGCGTCTCGAATATTCTTACGAGAACGCATTCACAAATGCACACACTTACTAGAAAAATATCGTGAACGAATCAAAAACCTTGATGATTTACTGAAGCTTTTAATCCCGATCGAATTACAAACCACGATATCCAACCTGTTTATAGAAAGAGAACTCCACTATTTAAATTCCTCAAAACACCGACAAATTAAAAAATTCGAAAACATCAAAGAAAAGAAGAATGATAAGAAAACATCAACAATAAAATACAATTTGAATAATCTAAGAACAGTTCATAATCTCTCCAACAGAAACTTAAACAGTCACGAAATCACTCTACTGGAGAAGGGATTAAACTTCAATTTACACAGAAAACCACTTAGCACTCTTGAAATCGCTCCGATTATAGAACCTATGATCGCACAACTACCGGAAAAAGAGTCGCATTTACTACGTCAAAAGACATCCCATATTCTGACGAAACAAAAACACATTACCCCAAACATTTCAAAAGAAGAATTGAAGGCTCTGAATTCACTTAAAAAAGACAAAACAATTATCATCACTAAAGCCGACAAAGGCAACACAACAGTAATCATGAATAAAACAGATTATATTAATAAAGCTCTTGAACATCTCTCAACAGGACCTTATGAAAAGATCAATCCAAAAACTTCTCTAACGATTAAGAATAAAGTCAAATTAGAAACAAATCAACTTCTGAACGAGCTAAAACCAATCATTGGGGTTCCGCTTTGGTTTGCTTTGCATCCCAAATCATGTAATGTCTCACGGTTTTATGGCTTACCAAAAATTCATAAACCAGATATTCCTTTAAGACCAATAGTAGACTTCACAAACACCCCAACATATGCACTATCGAAATATTTAAGCAATATATTAAAACCATTACAACTCAACCTACATAATATAATTAAAGACACATATGACTTTAAATCAAAATTATCCGGATTAATCATCAAAAAGAATGAAATCATGGTAAGCTTTGATGTCGTTTCTTTATACACAAGTGTTCCCATTGATAAATGCTTAGAATTCATTAAGGGTTTACTTGAGAACGACAATACTCTTCCTGACAGATGTCCGGTGAGCATCAGTCTAATCATGAAATCATTAAAACTTTGCTTAAATTCAACGCTATTTACTTTTAACGGTATTTTATTCAAACAAACTAACGGAGTAGCAATGGGATCCCCCGTGTCCCCGATTGTAGCCAACCTTTTTATGGCATACATAGAATCAAATATCTTCGCCCACAACATTATACCACGAATTTGGCTTAGATATGTAGACGATACATTTGTGGTTATAAAAAAGACTCATCTAAGATCTTTTTCAAAACGAATTAATACACTCTCATCGCAAATCAAATTCACCAATGAAAATGAAAATGCTCATGGTGAGCTACCATTCTTGGATTGCTTAGTAAAAAGAAATGCAAATGGAAGTCTAAACTTATCCATTTACCGAAAGCCGACGCATTCAAATCGTTATATTGACTTCCATTCAGCACATCCTTTCAGTGCTAAGATCTCGCTAGCCTTAAATCTTTTTAGAAGAGCTAACAAGATCATCACATCAGAGGAAGACAAACGAAAAGAACAAATGAATATAATTAGCACCTTACAATTTAATAATTTTCCTATGAAGATTATTAGAAGCATATTAAAACAAAACAATTTATTACATTATAATAATGTTTCGAATGAAATGCCATGGATTGGTACTGTAGTTCTACCATACCGTCATGGCACAACAGAAGAAATTCAAAGAATCTTAAAACACCACAGAATTAAAGTGTATTACAAAACAACGAACACACTACGTAATACTTTAGTTCGCCTGAAAGAAAAAATCCCTTTCATGTCCACACAGAACTGCGTCTACAAATTAGGTTGTATCGATTGTGATGCCTATTATATTGGAGAGTCTTCCCGCGAAATCGTGACTAGAGCCAAAGAACATATTAGGTACACAAAGAAACCTCCTAACAATCCGGTAGAATTGAACCAACTTCAAATTAAATCGGCAATAGCAGTTCATGCCATTTTCAACAACCACCAAATCGATATTAAAAATATCAAAATATTGCAAAAAGGCTTTTCCAACTACAAAGAAAGGAGGGTAGCTGAGGCGTTCCACATAATGCTTAATCCTACTTCTCTCAATAGAAAAGAAGGCCTTACCATACACCCTACTTGGACCATCTATCCTAACCATTCAGTCTGATCGTATTTACAATTTCACACTTTCATATTACAAATTTAAACTCTATCCTTTCTTACCATAAAGGTCACATAAGTTTTCATTCTTAAACAATGCACATATACATACACACACAAATTTACATACTTATCACTTATGAATCACCTTGACAGAAATGACATGACATCAACTTGTTCAGACCTGTTTTTTGATTGATCAAATATTATTCTTGCATTGTTCCGTTGTACTATTTAAACTTGGATTAATTTTAATTTGGTTATTTATTCTCTGAAGAAGTGACTTACACTAAGCCACGAAACGTCAGAAAATCCAATTTTCTACTCATTGGGATATTACAAATATATTATTTTTATTTATAACAATCAACCCAATGCTCAATTTATTCGAAATTATCAAATCAAACCTTGGTAATGACACCTATAAATAGTGAAAATTTTAATTGACAAAGTTATTAAACGGTATTAGCTGAAAAAATCCGACCAAGAATGAACTGCGAAACTCAGGATCTGATACAATTATTCGTCGATGATGTTTGATGATGTTGGTGATTTCGCCAACATCTGGACCAACAACTGAACAGTATCATGCTCATGGCAGTACTCAACAGTTATGAACTTGATGTCATGTGAATTCAAGGCTTGACTCAAAATGGAGTCCGGAAGCAAATTCACTTACCAATCAATTTTTGTTTCATTCAAATAATTGTCTGATGTAACTGTTATTTTTTATCAAGAAAAGTACTGCTAATCAAGGTAAGGATCTCAAGCAGTGAAGAGGAGTATAAGGTTGGTTGGAGAGAACATCTTGATGATTTGAATGTTTGTAGATCTACTTAACGGACCGACTAATTTGGTTATATAAAGAAAATCGATAATATTTGCATACGATTTTTCACTTCTTACATGATTTCTTTATATTTAACGATAATGAGTGACTTCTAGCGAAATTATTTGCAGTCCACGTAAACAACGGTGCTCATCGGAGTTTATCCATTCCGGGTGTGAGGAAAATTTCACTATTAGCAAGAAGTGTGGTCATAATAATTTCACAAATTGACTGGAGTGGTTGATATAGGCATGTGAATTTCAGCCTAACAGTTAATAAGGTGAACGAACATTACAAGACTCGAGGATCTTGCACTTTGTTGACAACCCAAATACAAGAATACAACAGTTGTCCACTCCCCTCCGGCTTATTAATAAACTTCCCAAAAGAAATTAAGTGTGTTATGTTTTTCTTAGAATTCAACAACCATCACAACCCACTTTTTCTAAAAACTAAAATTCTAGTAAAGAATGGCGGACCAAAGGCATTCACTACTGTACCGAATCGTCATTTCATAGTTTCGATCTCGACAATGTAATGCAGATAAATATGGAAGGATGTTCATCATTTTTACATACGTTTCAACATATCTTTACTTGATGAAGTTCAATCAAATAGAAGAAATGCTTATGGAACAATCGAATCACCTGATACATCACAATTAATCATTTTTGACAATGAATCCACCGACAAAACTCCGATTATTTTCAATGTATGAACTGGAATGCGGATAGTCAATGTGCGAGTGGCTTAGATTATCAATTTCCCAATTTTCATGAAAATGAAAGAGAAGGTTAATAATTTCAGAGAGTAACGAATCTTTCTTCGTCACGCATGATGTGATCTATTCATTTTATAAATCGTAATACTCCAGAAAAAGATGAATAATGTCTGTTGAAGGTAAGGCATCAAAAGTCAATCACCAACACTAATCAACAACAATCGAGAATATCAACAACGTAAACATACGCACCGATTAAACATGCTAATTGACATTGTGTCTCATCAGTGTAGTAGATTATTCATTAAGTACAAGTGTGAATGAAGGCCTTACCAGTAGAATGTGAACTTATCTAGCTGAATAGCTTCACAAAAGATCAGATGTGTTTGTTGGATTTTCTTCGCTGTCCATTATTCTAGACATAACCGTTTTATAAACGCAATTATACTTAGGTATCTATTCGTTAAGTCCCATTACTGTCAATAATTTTGCATATCAATAATGGAAGGATACGAAAACCCAAAGTCGTTGAACAGTTTTAGAGTCTTTACCCCTATGGGTTTATGGAGTTTAGATGGTGATCGACAGCAAAGTTAACTATTGAAGTTCACTTTCACCAAGTAAATTATGGGAATAATTTGGATTTATTACACTGAACCATGATCATTAATTCATGTAAATCAATGAACAATTTAATATTAGAACCATATTGTGAACTCCGGATACATGGCTCCATTGGATACATCACTTGAAACTCATTTATACAATCAGACACTTGTTTGTTTGTTTGAAAGAAGATTCAATGTATAATTCACAAATTACATAGGCATTAGTAATCCATATACTTTCAATCTTAGTCTCTACGCATAAAAGTGACACATGTAATATTTCTCTCTATGCATAGAATTCATTGTCAAATCCACATTGCTGTTGTTGTTGTTTTTATATTTTATAACTGTTAAATTTGTCTTACATTATTCCACTCACTCCCTTTCCACTCTTTTGTATATTGTTTTGTACTACTTATTTTCATTCAGTAAGCAATTGCCTTTGCAAAAATGTTTCCACTTGTGTTGTCGCGCAAGTTGTAGTGTAATATTCTGAAATGTTCACATATGTTTATTACGTTTATTGTACTTATCATTTTAATTACTATAACTTAATCACTGCAGCGGTTATCCACAGTTTAATGCATTTGTTTAAATGCAACACTTTCCATATTGTTTTGCTCTTGGTTCTGGTTTCGGTTGTTCATAAACTGTTGTCAAATATAGACACAGATATCAGCTGTCCCTTGTACTATCGTATGTTATAATTATTCTTCATGTTACTGTTACAGGAAGCTTTTTTATTTTCATACTTGAACGACGCGTTTAAACGCTCAAGACACCTCACAAGGTGAGATTTGTAACTGAATTTTGTGTATTATTCAATAAAGAACCGGCTATTGTAGACAAATGGTTGATTTGGAACTTCGGTTTCGCGCGTATCACAATCAGGTGACCTAGACGCTTCGATAGATCTAACAACAACCATTGAACCGATTCTTCAGATGGATTATTATTTGTGTATATAATGCAAAACATCATTAAATCTAATTCAAACGAAAAACAGAACCAATCTGATCATAGTTCAGGCATATCATCAGATAGATGAGATCAAGATTTAATCTGGTTAATATGGTTACTTCTATTCTATGTATGATCTGGATTGTTTCTGTTAGATTAATCATATAAATTTGTAGATGTTTCAATATGAAATCCAACGAAACAACTTCATTGAATTTACACATTCTGCAACTGAATCATAGCAAGTTGGTCAATCGATTTGTTGACCATTCTCTTATCCATGGTGAAGGACCTAATACATACTGTGCCAAATAGGAAAAACAAAACGAGAGAAAATGTCACAAACTATCAATGGTGAATACAATTTGCACAAAAACCCTTTTGTGAAATGTTAATGAATTCGATATTACGCGTCAGACGGTATGATTCAGTATATTAGAGAAGTTAAACGAATGTATAGGATTATTCAATATCATTTGCTTAAACAACTTTCATAGTCCATCTTATTTGTTGGACCACTGTAATTAGGCAACCTCAATTTTCATTTATAAATTCTGAGTGATTTATCTCATTATTGACATTTGATCACAAAGTTGAGTAATGACTTACAATGGATTGCATGTTGTACGTTATGTTCCGTTTAGGACTCGTCAGGAGAATGAACAATCATCTTAATATTGATGTTCATACAGACAACCGAATTCATTACATAAGCACTTCAAACATGGACGCGTTGTAGACTGAAATGCTGAATCAAGATGACCACCTGTTTATCCAACAGATAATGGGTTGACTTGTAAGCGTTTGCGTTTTCCGATTTGATGTTATTGAAGACTAAACGTGATCAGTATTGCATATTCATAAATATTCACTCGAAATCTGAAGAGTACACGCAAGATATTTCAATACATCGGTTTATGTATATCAAGTCAGGTCAATTAAACGACAAGAGAGGAGATGATTTATTGAGGGAAGAATAAGAACTGATCAAGTAACCACATATAATAAAATCGATCAAGGATAATCAAACGAAAAGGAAGAGATGAAATTCAGAATGAATACGATTCGTGCAAACACACAAACACAAGGCTCGCATATCTCAGAATTATCACTTGTGAGTGAGATATTTTCTCTAGCCACCATGTAACCACTATTTAACGCCTTCCCATAGTTGACATATTCGAACAATCTGTCACTCAACTTCATTGTACTTTTGATGATTTTGTTGAATTATCGAACACTCCCCAATGTTTTTATGTGTGTATAAGCAAAGATGGATAGTGGTTTGCAATAAAATCCATGATGAGCGTTTTGTCCTATCTGGTACACGTCATCTGGATATACCGGCATCTCGAAATTGATGTTGACCCCCACACTTGAACACAGTGCTATTCACAATCTGGAATGTAGAATATTGAAATGATCAATTTGTAATTCCCTTGCTTCACGAATAGATCATAGTGGATTAAAAGGAGGAGATCAAGCAGAGAATGAGGCCAAATAAGCAAAATATTTGAGAGAGGAGATCATCGTTTCACTTCATAGAAGTAGAGATGAAACAGTTTCAATGGATGAGAATGAGATAGTTACACTGAAATTCATTAGACGGTGTCTCTCTTGATTCTTCTCTCATTCAATGGAGTTGATATTGTTACATGTGGTTAGTTAGTGATTTATTTATGAAACAATTTTACTAATGAAATGGTTTCTGTGGTCTTGATAAACGACTGTAACTGGAGATACGGGATTTGGTAATGAGAAATGGATTTCTCAGTGGAAATTGAATAGCAATGGGAGTATCGAATTGTTCAAAGACAGAACGTGTTTTTCGCAAACACTTGAATATCATAATCAAGTTGTATATTTGAATGAAGTTTATTATTAGCTAACATCATTAAGTGACATTCAGTTAAATAAACATTGACAAGTATTAGGTGTTGAATAGATGTTTCATAGTGGTGTGGAACTCTTAACGACTAAACAACTAAGACTTCAACAAGAGTCGATTTAATGATCATTAATTTTCTTTTCAGTGATTATTATTCTTAAATTCATTCAATTGGTGGTATTATAAAGTTGTCTTTTATTACTACCGGTGATCAAGTTGACAGGTAATTTGAATCCTCTCTTTATTCAATCTGTTCATTTCACATGCATCGTTATTTTTGACTGAATTCAATGAGTTTTAAGCAATACAATTATGTATTTGTTGATTCTTAAATTTGACATGCACATTGATGATTCAACCTTGAACTCACACTTTTATTTATTTCAACAGTTGACATCATGAGTCAATTGAAGCTAGAACACAGTGGAAAACCATGAAGCAGTGGACGGTCGTTCCGTCCTACTGTGAGACTCTTCAGCAGTGCGCATTGTGGTGACTGAATGAAATAATGATACTTTTGTACTTGTTGGATGTATGAATTCGAATTTTAAATACAATAAATTCGCTTGTGTTTATCTAGTATTTCTTGATCCGATTACGTTATTTCTGAAATTCTTAGTTTCTACTATAATTGAAATACTCCTATATATCAAATTGACGTCTCAGTTGAGCTTGTGATGTTACGTTGGACATACATTCCGATGTTGATGGTTTTGAGGATTACTTTGAAAGGTTCTAAATCTGTGCTATGACCAAGGAAGGTGATGAGGATGTTAACATTGTAGTACATTTCTTCACATTCATCGGAAAAGAGGCATATGGCTTAATAAAAAGTCTGGCTTTACCGGAAAAGCCCATTTCGCTTTCTTATACAACTCTCAAGGATCTATTGCTAGACTATGTCAAGTATACAAGTTTCGAATGTGGTAAAATAGGAATATTTCGTAAAATGATTCATGCGAATATGAAAAATTCCACTGCATTGCGTCATCACAACCCAGTTCATACTCAAGACTATGCAGTTCACGTAGATAGGCACAAGTCTGGTCAATGCCTATCCTGTAGCACGTTCCACTCTTTTAATTCATGTAAATTTTGTAATTCTGAGTGCTTTAAATGTGGTGATATTTGACATATTCAGTCAGTTTGTAATACTACTGTACATCTTACTGCAACTAATATTAAGTGTTGTAATTCTGAGTCATATAACAGTTCAGAGTTAAGTGAAACGCAGAGTCCTTGCGAGACAACAGTTTCTAATCAATCAACTTATCAGATTTCTCATGTGATTGTACCAGATATGGTTTTTCCTCATGATTCACATATTTCTGACGAAATTCCTTGCAAATTTGACGAAAAAATTGTTGAATGAACCTAATCATGATCGAAAACCTGATGTAGTTTTGGTAGATGCTGATTTTTCTAACGATTCTTTGCTCTGCAATGACATTCCTAATAAATGAGAGGAAACTATTTCAGAATAATGAAATCTTGATATCATATCAAGCAGTATTTGTTTTCATAATGCATTTGTTTCTTGTGGGAATCTTGTTCAATGCAAAGCATAAGTACTAAATGAGCTCGATTTCGATTACAATTCGGATGATTTCATATCAACATCTGTTTATCCTAATCACGAGCTAACTTTTAGTGTTTACTCTAGTCAATGTGAGAAATATGTTTTAAATAAAGCCACATCATTCATAACTTGGGGATATAAAGATCCAGCATTATTTCGTGGGAGAGGATAGTGTTGAGAAATTTGTGCTTTAAATTCTAGGTAGCAGCAGTTTCGGTACACAACCGAAATACTGATTACACAATCCGAAGAAGCAGGTGAGTCTGTTCCGATTTCAGTTGTTAATTCTGATACTAATGAGTGCAGTCTAGATAATATAGAGTCTACATCAAATACAATGTCGGACAGACACAGGATGAACTTAAGAAGAAAACGTGCAAACGATTACAGACACATAATATTCTTATGTCCTGAAGAATATTATCTAGATGGTCCTAAATACATAGTGTTTCACCTGGGTCATTGGTTACTGAAACTAATCTCTTTATGCAAAAAGATCCCTCCGATGTCAAGTTTACAACAAAGGCTGTCCAATCCATGATGATAATTATGGTTATTTGATCAAAATTCTTATGTATTTACATTGAATTTTATTGTTCTATTTATATTCACCTCAAAAAGTAGTATGGGATTAGCTCCATTGAATAATGATTTCATGAAATTAGAAGAGAAAATCATACTACTGAAGGTTTCTAACAAACTAAACAATACAGGAAACCGTTAAATTGAAGAATAGAAACGAACTAATCCGATTGAAAGATCTAGTTCTCAAAGATCACGTGAACATTTCGAGTAATAGATTACAAAGCTGGTCAATCCATTTCAATCGTAAAGTCGTATAATTATGTGCTTTTCTCAAGCATTTCATAAACGTTCATTCACAAATATACTGGATAAAGCTAATGAAAGCTTTTCAATAAGCAATTAATCAAACATCTTGAAAATTTTGATCCATAATATAACCAACTTCCTAAGCAAAAATGGATAGTGACTAGCAATGGAATCCAGGACGCGCTTCGTCTTATTTGAGACTCGTCAGTTGGATGTGCCTGCATCTCAAATGACTATCAGGATTCAGTAACTAAGTGGATAATGCGATGGAGTTTGTAAAAATTAACTTTATTATGAATACACCAAAACATGTATACATATTCCATAATGATAATTTTAAGAGACTGTTCGAGTGAAATTGAAAAACGTCTACTCATTTTTGGCCGATCTAACAAGGAAATTAGGTGAAAATGTAGGAATGTTGATCGCGTTCATTATTGCACCACGTGCATGTCACTGAAGTCACAGATACGAAAAACAAGCAAGCTAGTAAGTGTGCGAGTCA